GCACCGCTTCTCCGGCCGTGCTGAGGCGGCATCCCACATACAGCAACTAGAAGGATGTGCAACTATGACATACAACTATGTACTGGGGCTTTGGGGAAAAAAAGGAGGAGGATTGGCAATAGATGTTAGCTCAGAGCCGGTCTTCCTCAGCAAAAAGAGGAGGATTCGCATGGATGTTAGCTCAGGGCTGATCTTCCTCACCAAATATAAATAAATAAATAAACAGAAGATATATTTTGAGTGCCTCTTAAGTGCTGGAGGGTATAGAGATTAAGAAGATGCAGTCCTAGCTTTAAAGTGCTCAGACCGGGAAACACGCAATTTTAGAGTATCAAGTGCTGTGATTGGGGGAAAGTTTGAGTTTGTTATGGGAGCCGTTGTGGGTTCTTGTGTAGGGGACTGAAGTGGTAGATTAGGAAATAAGTCTGGACAACTTGAGTATGTAGAATGCCAAGGAGGAAGACTAAAGGCAAAGAGACTAGTTAAGAAGCTACTACAGCAAATAGAAGCAGCCTAGAGTTTGGGGACTTACACTGTGGTAGTAGTAAAGTACAGAGTAATTATCTGAAAGTGTGCTTAAGCTGAGAAGTATTTCCACAAGAAGTTGTGGAATCTTGTATGCTTTTAGAAGCAAGGAAAATTATTCATTATGTAGGATGATTTAAAGTGTATTCTAGCTCTAGCATTCTAGCAGTTTTGCTCAGTGTTCTTAAACAATGTGAACTAGCTCAATATTGATTGCTAAATAGGACAGTGATGTCACTATAATCCAGGGGTCACATTGGTTCATATGCAGTTTTCCCCAACACGTTAGTATTTTGCACCACCAGTTTGCTACAGTTATGTAATAGTTAACTGGAAGAATACATGCCTTCAAGTCTGAAATAGGAAGCTGTGGCATGTGGTTTTAATAGGATCACTCAGGCAGTAGAAACAGGAAGTTATTGCAATAATCTGGGCAAGAGTAAGTAGATGGAGGCTTGGACCCAAGTAGATGGAGGCTTGGACCCAAACTATGCTAGTAAGCCATAATGAAAAGTATGAAAGCCTGCTACCTTAGAGAAACATGTATACACAAGAAAACATGCACAAGCATTGCTTTAATAGTGAATAACTAGAAATACCCATCAGTACAATGGATAAACAGTGCAGTTTGAATTAAGAGCTGCATATGTCAACTTGAGTTAACTACTAGACAACCAAGGAGAGATGTCACACATACAGATGGATATGAGTCTGAAGTTCAGGACAGTTGTACAAGCTGGAGATATAAATTTGGCAGTCATTAGGATATAGTTGCTATAAGGCCACAAGACTGGATAAAATTACCAGGGGAGTAAGTATAAATAGAAAAGAGCTCAGAGGACTGGGCCCTGGAAAACGCTATCATTTAGTTTGGGGAAAGGAGGAAGAACTAAAAAAAGAAACAGAAGGCAGTGATTTTCCGGAAGCAAGTAAAATGTTTTCAGGAGGAGAAAGCAATCGGTTGTATCAAATACTTCTGATAGGTAAGAAGAATGAGAAATTGATTTAACAACACAGAAATCACTGATGGCCTTGGCAAGAATTTCAGTGGAATGGTGGAGTTGAAGGCCTGACTATAATGCTTCAAGAGAAAATGGGAAGAAGAACTTCTTCAAACTCTCACCACATCTGCTTACCTAATGCTTCTTGTGCCCATCTATTCTTTTCTCCTGTTACTATGAACTGTCTGTCTATGCCTCTAGCTAGGCCCAACCCCTTCAGTTGTACACTTGATTCTAGCTTCACTAACCTATTAAAAAATATGGACCTAGGGGCCGGCCCAGTGGCGCAAGCGGTTAAGTGCGCACGCTCTGCAGCTGGCGGCCGGGGTTCGGATCCCGGGCGCGCACCCATGCACCACTTGGCAAGCCATGCGGCGGCGTCCCATATAAAGTGGAGGAAGATGGGCACAGATGTTAGCCCACGGCCAGTTTCCTCAGCAAAAAAAGAGGAGGATTGGCAGATGTTAGCTCAGGGCCAATCTTCCTCATAAAAAAAAAAAAAATAGGGCCAGCCCCGTGGCTTAGTGGTTAAGTGCACGCTCCGCTACTGGTGGCCCAGGTTCGGATCCCGGGCGCGCACTGACGCACCGCTTCTCCGGCCATGCTGAGGCCGCGTCCCACATACAGCAACTAGAAGGATGTGCAACTATGACATACAAGTATCTACTGGGGCTTTGGGAAGAAAAAAAGGAGGAGGATTGGCAATAGATGTTAGCTCAGAGTCGGTCTTACTCAGCAAAAAAGAGGAGGATTAGCACGGATGTTAGCTCAGGGCTGATCTTCCTCACAAAACAAATATATGGACCTGGGAGCTCTCCCCTCCCTCTCCTACATCATCAGTTATTTTCTTTTTACTGCATCATTCCCGTCAGCATATAAACATGCTGATATCTTTCCTATCTTAAAAAAATAAATTCTTTCTTGACCCAATTTCCCCTTTCAGCTACCACCCATATTTTATTCCCTTCACAAGCAAAACTCTTTGACAGAACTGTCCTACTGCTTTCTCCACGTTTTCCTCTATTTCATGTCTGGCTGCAGACATGGAATAAGCAGTTGGGTTTAATCACATTGTGGTTGAGCTGTGTGAGTATGATGAAGAGACAGAGGAACAAGAGAGTTAAGATTGTATGCAAGTGTGTAATTTAAGCTGCTTAAGGAGAAGAGACTACTTGAGAGGGGTGAGAGTTGTGAAAAGGTGGTGCTGTCAGCTGGACCCCGTGGAAGTCAAAGACTCATTAGAGATGGGGTACTAGAGTGAGTGAGCAGGAGAGAGGGGTTAGTGGTTAGAGAGTAGGGTGTTCGAGATCATAGAAGATTCTGAGTTATTGGTAATGACAAGCTCAAGGTTATGGCCAAAGTTGTAGCTGAGGTAGAATAGAAGAAAAAATTATTGAAGAGCCCTTCAAGTTCAGCCAGTGAACTGAGAGGCTAAGACACTGGAAGGATCATCTTTGTGGGTATTGAAATCACCAAGAAATATAAAAAGTAGTATTGTAGAGAGTGAGACAGGAACTGAGTTGTTAAAGGAGTGAGGGGGAATTTGAGGGGACTGTACAGTGGATAATTTCAATAAGAAGTACCCATGTAGCAGCTAGCATGGTCTGATGATATGTTATTAATGGAAGGAGCAGAGGAGAATAGACAGGAAGCAGCAATGAGGAGAAAGGAACCTGTTCCACCTCCGGGCCCAGTGGTATGAGAGGTGTGGTAGAGAAAACAGCTGCCACTTGAGAGGGCAGCAGGGGAAGCAGTGTCATCAGAAGTCACAACTCAAATTCTGACAAGTGAAGTTAAGAGGGCTGGGTGTTTTCACAAATTAATACTCAATTTTCTTAAACCACAGAGTCCTCATGATAGAGACATAAATAAAATGTCTCTATTATAAGAAAAACAGCCATGAGACATTAAGTGAAATCAGCTTCGTGTTTGGAGGACAGAGAGTGGCAAAGGGACCGTTTTAAAGCGAACAGCCATTATTTTGTGTGGTTGTCATGGCAGAATTCAGGTCTAGTGTTGCCAGGTCTTTTGATTTTTTTCAAGAGAAGCTGGAACTGTGGATTTTTGTATGAAAAAGACTTATAATACTAGCTTTTTATTTTTATTTTTTTAAGTCCCGTGCAGGCCAAATAAAACATGTCAGAGACTGCATTTAGCCATTGTCATAATTTTATGAACTCTGCTTTTTAAAATAGAAACTACCACGGTGTGTATTTGTAACTTCAAGAGTCAAAGTCCATGATCATTAAACTGGTTGCCTTGTTGGGTAGCCTGCAGCAGTTCAGTTCAGTCTGCAAGTGTGAAGAGAGTGACTATCTACAAGCTGATCACCAAGCAGCACTTAAATTACCTGGCAATTTATCAGTTGCTTAATTGATTATTACTCAAGCAGATCTTATCTTACCCCATATTTTTTTACTTTCAATTTTAACCCTCACAGTCGAATTTCCTTTGAAGAGAAACAAACAACTGTTTATGGCCTGAACTTGTAATAAAAAGTAGACCTCATACAATAAAGCTTTTTTTTTTTTGTGAGGAAGATTGGCTCTGAGCTAACATCTGCCAATCCTCCTCTTTTTTTTTTTGCTGAGGAAGACTGGCCCTGGGCTAACATCCATGCCCATCTTCCTCCACTTTACATGGGACGCCGCCACAGCACGGCTTGACAAGTGGTGTGTCGGTACGCACCCAGGATCCAAACCGGCGAACCCCGGGCCGCCACAGCGGAGCGCGCACACTTAACCGCTTGCGCCACTGGGCTGGCCCCACAATAAAGCTTCTAATAGAGGAAAACTTGAAGGTTCTTTAAGCCTAAAAAAAAGCTAGTTAATTCCTAAACAAATTTTAATATAAAGTATTTAACGTTTCTTCAAAATCTTCAGTTTTCCTTTAGTTGTAATGATGACTGAGAAGATTTTCTGTATTGAAGTAGAAATTAAGGATGGTATTTAGCTCTATTTGACCTTGGACAGGGCAGCAAACCCCTCTAGACTTAATTTCCTTATCTGTGAAACGGAGATTAAAAATACATGCCCTACCTACTTCATAAGGTAGCGGTGAGGATCAAATGAGAATGTGAAAAGCTTACACCATGACTATGTATGGGTGCTTCATTTTATTATAGTCTATTAAAGAATAACAACTTGCCTAAAACTAGTGATAGTGTTTGAGAAAACACTTTAGATTAGAATATATTTAAAATTTAGGAAACCCCTTGAGAATGAGTGGATATATAATCTACTTCCAAAAGCAACTTTCCTACTGAAAGATGACACTGCTGATGGTATCGCTGTGTGAGGTAGTGGCTGAAAAGCAGCCTCTCTCCAGTTCTGTAAGCGTGACTGGTTGTACTTTGGTTAAAAATCCTATTCATTCAGGAGACACTTGATACACACACTCTTTCTTTTGGTCCTACCATCACCGTCCCTTCCCTTCTCACCTTGTACTCATTTTTTTTTCCATCAAAATTAACAGTTATCACTTGAGATTTATATTTAATGTACTGAGTCTTTTCTAACAGCATTTAATACACACTCAAAAGAAGAAGTCTTAACTGAGAAACACAGGATACCTCATTTTCACAGTAATTTTTTTTTAAGTTCCAGTGATGAAAACTCTAAGGCAGCTTCCTCAAAGGAAGCTAACGTTGATGAATCCAGGATGTGCAGCCAGTGTGTTGAATGTGAGGTGGTAAAATCTTTATCATGTCCAGCTTGACTGTCCTGTAACTTAGTCTGAGTCTTTTGGAATGGTTATTCCTCTTTATTAATTGTATGGTTGTTATACAGCCATGGAAGGAAAAAGCTGAACATCAAAATCATCAACAATATACCTGAAAGACAAGATACAGTAAAATAAAACAATCTCTAAGGAAGTTCATAATCACTCAGTGGGTATAATTTAGGATTATAGACAATGATGTAGAGATTTGGAAAGCTATGTTTAAAAGAATTAGCTACATCAATTCTACATGAAACGTAGACATTTTTAAATCTAATATTCTCACATTATTTTTCTTCAACAATGAATCCTTAAAAACAGTATGTACTTGGTAAAACCAGTAGGATCTAAACAATGAATTCAAAGGATAAATAAAATAGATTTGTAGTTCTAGTTCTGGGTCCTTTACTGACTTGAGTGAGAAACTCTGGACTTGGGTCTCCATTTACTCCTCTTTAAAATGGCAACACTTTGTTCCTCATGCCCCAGGGATGCGCAGGGAGAATAAAGCAACTGAAAGCACTTTTGAGTTTTCACTTGGAATGCTCAAATAAGAACAGTACGTTAGATAACTTTCTCCCTTCTCATTTTTTTTCATCAACCTCAACCATTAATATCTTTTAGAGCTGTATCAAGCAAATTATCTAAAACAGAAAATTTCAGTCAATGCTGAAATTTTATATCTTAAATATAAATACGTGAAAAAAAAATCACATATTAGTAAGTCTTCATTTTTGAGATCACACCAGACAAATCTAGCATGTAGCCACTGGTTAATTTTTCAATGGGAAATAGGGATGGAAGAGAGTGAGCCACAGGGCTCGTCTCCGTTTTGAAAGAGAGGTCTGCAACAGTTAATGTTTTTATCTTCATGTATCTAGACTTAAAGCTCTAAGTCAGTGTAAACTCAGATTAAGAACGAGTTTTTGAAATTTATGTGTTATGTCAATGTGACCTCAATAAAAAACAATAAATTTTTTAAAAAGAATGAATTTTTGTCACATGCAGATTTGATATTATTTTACTTGTGTTTTTTAACAACAGGAAACCTTATGGTTTGACTACCATTTGGATAGCTTAACATGTTATTGAAAGATGAGTCTGTTTTGCAACCAAAGGCTTTAAATGAAAAAAAATGAGAAACAATCTGTATGTTAACTGACCCACAAAATTTGACATTTTCTTTATAAAGTCAGAGCTAGAAAATAAGACATTTAAAACTTTTTCCAAAAATGGAATTACAGTTCCATAGAAGCAAATGGAATTTGCTAATTTTTACTGTATGAAATGTGTAAACTAGAGAATTACTTCTATATACATTCTTATCACATTTCTAATATTTTTAATTAATTTTGGGGAGATGACAGGGGCTATTAGAAGAATTACAATTCTCTCTGCTGTGAAGAGAAACAAGAAGGAACAAGGACTACGGCTTCCAAGAATAGTTTGCTCCCTGCTTGGTCAAGAAGGGAACGATGACAGATACCTTGGGATTCCTCTCCTCCATCTCACTCCATGGCATTGCCTAATGTAGCTTTAACAAAGTTTTGTTTGTTTTGACTCCTTATCTCTTACTTAGCTCTTTGAGTGACTCTTGTAAAAATATAATTTCTTATTTTTCCCATCCTTCTTAGAGTTTAATTGTGACCTTATTTCATGTGAGGACTTTTTTTTCCCAATGGGACTGTAACTTCAATATATGACAAAATTCATTGGCAAGCTGGAATTCAGTATTCTAAAAACTGCCATTTATTCATGTCTTTTATCCATATATATTGAAGGATTCCTGTATTGTTTCTCATTCATAAATTTCTTAAAGAAGTATAGGAACATGCCTCTTTAAACCAAAAACTACAATAGAAATTTTATGTTGGACCAATTTAGAAAAAAGCTAGGAGGTCCTTGGGCCAACTAAGAAAGAATCTTTGAAGGCATGTTTTCAACAAGCTAAATAGGGCCATATATAATTGCAAAAAAGTTTGATCGCAATTCCATTTTAAAAGATTCCTTGAATAGGAAGCAAAGAAATAAAAGTATATTTGGTTTTTGAGTGTTTGGATTGTTTTGGGGTAAGTAGTTCTCTAAAATGTTTGTTAAAGGCCTCAAGTAATGTTACCTTCCTGTTTGGACTACACTAACATGAAGAGAATATAGTCTATTTCCCCACCCTACTACTCTCTGGTCTGTATACATTCTAAAGGAGCAGAAGTGATTGTTCCTTTTTTATGTATCATGAAATTTTCCAGTATGTTTTTCCAGGAAGAAGTTATTAAGTGATTTTGGCTAGAAGACGTGTTTAAAGAAAAAAGTCATGGTCCTTTTATAGAGAACGTCACTACTTCTGATTTTTTTTCTTTTAAAATTCTTTTGGAAAGGCCTACTCTTAATAGTGTTGTTTCAAGTAATAGATGAAATAATTCCTTAGTATCATGGGCCTACTGTTACAATTGTGATTGGAGCACATTAACAAATATATAATATATGTTTTGATTTCAAATAAGACATATTAAGAATTTTTCCATATAAAAATAATCAGTAGTTTTGTCCAATTAGTGACTTTTTTAACTTCTTTAGGAACTTCAGTGACCTTTTTTTTTAATAAATTTATTTATTTATTTTTCCCCCCAAAGCCCCAGTAGATAGTTGTATGTCATAGCTGCACATCCTTCTAGTTGCTGTATGTGGGACGCGGCCTCAGCATGGCGGGAGAAGCAGTGCGTCGGTGCGCGCTCGGGATCCAAACCCCAGCCGCCAGTAGCGGAGCACGCGCACTTAACCGCTAAGCCACGGGGGCCGGCCCTCAGTGACCTTTTTAACTTACTAAAAATCAAGAATAGAGAAAATTTATCTTCAAAGAAGTTATTATCAGAAAATACTAGCAATCTATAACTGAAAAAAAATAGCTATGATTATTAGTATTTTAAAATGCAAGTTATCTCTGATATTCTTCATGTTTAGGCCTAGAGATATCATTATTGAACATACTAGATACTAAATGTGAGATAAAGGAATGGAACGTGAATGGGAGGAGTAAAGTGTAATGGCTATTCAAACCTTTTGTGCCAATGTTCCCTTCTACATGAAGCTTTTTTTTTGTTTAACAAAAATGAGCAACAAGAAACAAAATACAAACTGAATAAAAAGGATTAACTAACAGAAGGCCAGGCATCCTCGTATTCATTTATAGTTATGAATTATAATCAGGCTTAAACCAGATGACTAAACAAGAAATACTGATAACTTGTATAAAGAAATGCATATTATGATTACAGTTATAACTTTTTTTGTCTTTTTTGACTTATCTGAATAGAGGAGTTTTATATATCTGATCTAGATAGAAATAAGAGGAATGCAACTTGTGGATAATTTAATTTAATTAATTAATTTATTTTTCCCCCAAAGCCCCAGTAGATAGTTGTATGTCATAGCTGCACATCCTTCTAGTTGCTGTATGTGGGATGCGGCCTCAGCATGGCCGGAAAAGCAGTGCGTCGGTGCGCGCCCAGGATCCAAACCCGGGCCGCCAGCAGCGGAGCGCGAGCACTTAACCGCTAAGCCACAGGGCCGGCCCATGGATAATTTATTATAGGTGTACATTATTTCATGAGATGCTCTTCTGCAAAATGAGTCAAATGAACTAAATAGTTTTTATCTGGAGCTCACAAATTTGAAAAAACAAATTCCTTTATCAAAAAAAGAGTTATTTTTCAATGGAAGAAGTAATCGTTGCTCACTTTTTTTGCCATCATATCTGAGGGTTTCTTAAAGTGGTATCATACCTGAAACTGACAGCCCTTAAACTAGATAATTTTGTTTCTTTGAAGATAAAAACAGTTTTAAAGGATATTGCACAAAATAAAATGCTATTTCAGGCATGTTAACTACCTTTTTCATTTTCTTTTTTGTACCTCCTCTGGCTTTGGAAATTGACATGTTAATAGTGACATTCCATTTCATATTTTTAAGATATCCTAATATTTTAATCATAGTAAATAAAAATATGCTTACCTAAAGAAGGAGCCAGCCAATATACTATAAAAAATTGAAGGAATGCTTCATCAAAACACTTGAAATGTAGTGAAAGTGCCAAAGCTGGATTAAATACAGCTCCTGTTAGACTTCCTCCTGTAATACATTTTAAGCAGAGTGATACCAAACCATATATCTTACATTTTCTTGTAACTGGAAATAAAGGGGTTACTAAATGTGACTGTTTTAGGTATTTAAGTATTCTTATTCTATAATCTTCCTTTGCAGAATCACCTGGCATATTACAAAATATAAAAATAGATTATAGATTATAATATGCCAGGTGCAAAAAAGAGGACATTGAGTTTTAATCCAGTGCTTTTCCTATATATTATAAAATGCACATTGAAAGTTAATAGGCTGTATTATTCTCCCTACAGTTTTATAAAACAGGAGATTTGGCTGCCTTTCTTAACATTCATCAATTTAAATGAATAAATAATAATGAAAATACCTTTACAATGGATACAATACCCTAGAATCTTCTTGGGCATAAACATACCTTTGCGTTGAAAACAAAAAATAGAATGGACCAAAGCATTATCATTGACTCCATTTTCACTTGTCAACAGAGCCCTGAATAAGTGACTGTGAATGGTATGTGAATTTATATCTCAATAAAGTGGTTACAAAAATTAAAAAAAAGAAGTAACTGTGAGTAGTCATGCAAGATAAGCACAAATTCTAACTGTTGACTACTATTCAGGATTCATGGTCCAGCTCTACACTCAGGGTATCTCGCTGACATGGGGCCTAGGAATTTATAGTTCTGGCTACACAGCAAGTAAGGAAAGGCAGAGGAGGCTGGACTGCCTGTCCAATGGTACTCACTAGAGCTGTGGCTCAGCTGTTCAAAACACACTCTACGAGTATCCCTGAGATAGTGACATTTCTGGCGGTTCTTCCATATGGAAGCTTGGGCACACACATCTGCCTCTGACTCAGCCACAGAGACAGATCCTGAGATCGTCACAGATTTTATATTGACATACGCCACAATCGCATGTTAATTGTCTTCATAAAATGCAGTGAAGTAAAATCGGAAATTAAGTGACCCTTTCATAAGATTTCACTAATGAGACTTCACACTTGATAGACTGAAAACATTTCACACTTGATAGGCTGAGAACATTGAAGCCTCAACATCTTGTATTGAGATGAAGATGTTGAGGAATGAACTAAGTTCACTCCATAGCTAAGAGTTTTTTCTAGCATGTCAGCCTCACAGCATGATTCATATTCATGCCTCAGAAATTACAAATGACATCATGTCATGGACCTTTAGAATCTTTCTTGAGTAGTCAAATCCTGGAATGTTAAATCGGCAACTGCGAAAGGCCAACAGAATTGTTTAGTTGGCAGGTGGGCATTTCCGTTCAATTCAACAAAAAATTGAGTTCCTATATATGTGGGCAGAAAGATAAAGACTCACACAGATCTTTACAATATAATGTAATATGTGCTATGATAATATAATAAGTGACCCGTGGGGTTTTTTTAGGCATTTATCAATAAAAATAGACTGAATCATTGCCCTCATAATTAGTTTACTTCAGTACTCCTATTAGATCTTCTGTATTTCCATTAGGTCTAAGAACACTATCATTCAGTCTTACACCATCCCAAAACTCAAACTGCTTCACTCCCCTTGTCTTCTATCCTCACATCACCAGTTCTGCACAGTGTGACTTGGTGGAAGCTGCTGCTCCTACCAAGAGGTAGAATCTATTCTCCTGAACACGGACCGGCTTTGCAACTTGCATTGACAAGCAGAATGCAGCAGAAGTGACGCTATGCGAATTCTGAACATGAGGAGTGACAGTGAGCGACTTCTAGGTTCAGGTCTCAATAAACCCATTAGCTTCCCCTTTTTGCTCTCTTGGAACAATGCCCTGATCATGTAAGTAGGCTGGTCTAGGCTCCTGGAGGATGAGAGGCCACATGGAGGAGAACCGAGGCACCTTAGATGACAGTTGGCATCAACTGCCAGACCCATGAGTGAGGCTACCTTGGTTCTTCCAGCCCCACCAACTGTCCAGCTATATGGTCTCGGAGGAATTTCCCATCTGACTCACAGAATCATGAAAGGCAATAAATTTTTATTTTAAGCAATAGTTAACTGATACAGAAATCCCCATCAGGAGTGGGCTCTGTGTCAACAAAAGATGTGGCATTGGCTTTGACATTTTAGACTGCATAATTCTTTGTTGGGGGATGTCCTATGCATTGTAGGATGTTTTGCAGCGTCCCTGGCCTTTACCCACTAGATGCCAGTAGCACATCCATCTCCCCCCATTGTAATAACCAAAAATGTCTCCAGACTTTGCCAAATGTCCCCTGGGGGGCAAAATTGTCCCCTGTTGAAAACCACTGTCCTAGAGAACTACTCATACTTGTACACAAGTAGACATACACAAGGTTGGGAAAAACCTAAATGTCCATTCATAAGAAAATAGCTAAATAAACAAGTTTATTATTAATTTGGAATACCATTCAGTATTTTGAAATAATGAAAGAAATCTCTTTACTAACATAGATAAATCTCTAAGATACATCATTGAACACCACCACCAAAAAAAGCAAGCTACAGAAAGTAAGGTATGACACCTTTTATGTTAACATGAACACACATAAAATAATAGTTTCTACAGGGTCTTCTCTATATGTATAATAAGTGCACATAAAAAGAGTTTAGAAGGAGACACACACACATGTGTACATGTGGAGGATCTCCTGGTGGAAAGAGTTGGCAGGAAAGGAGAAGGGGCAGGCATGGAGGATGGCAGTCAAAAGGCACTTTTAGTTGCACTGGTAGTGTTTCAACTTTTTCCTAAAAAAACCACATTCGTGTATTACTTGTGTAATTAAATATGAATTATTAAAAAATTAAGACTCATCCAAACAGAGAACAGAAAATGGCTTCGAAAAATAAGTTATTTATTGACATTGAAGGGGAGAGGACAAAAGAACACATGTTGAAGAAGAGGTATCAATGGGAAGATCCAGCTGGCTGACTGCCAAGACTCTTAGAGGACATCATGAACTTAGTGAAATTACCACAGTCAAAGACTAAGTCCCAAATCTGGTAATTCTAGGCACTAATGTTTCTCAATAGCCCTAAAGGGAATCAAATTCTCTGTGACGGACTGACACTAGTTAAAATCACATAAGACTCATGTATAAGCCAGAATGTCAATTAACTAATTTATAGTGGAATCTAGCCCTTTCCAGCGACCAGAATATTTGTGCCAAGTACTGTGCTAAGAACTTGAAATATATCACTCTATTCCCATAATAGTCTTAAGAGATAGATAGTAGTATTCTCCATTTTAAAGATGAGGAAACTGAGGCCTAAATTAAGTCTCTCTCCTAAGGGCTCAGTCCAACTCCAAACCTGTACTCTTAACCTCTGTATTATACCGGCATAATAAAAAAGATTTGGATGTTTGTTTGAAGCTGTTTTTCATTTGTAAATTAGCACCTATTTGATAGGATTATTGTATTAAAAGTGAACATATGTAAAGGACTTGGTTCCCTTCTCCTTCTGCAAATATCTTATTTCAACATGACTTAGAAGGATACCAAACACTTCCGAATGGAGTAATGAAATGAAGTAAAAATATCACAATTTCCTCAATTTATTAGGCTTATTTTGAAAGCCCTTAGACATAAAATATGGAATACCCAGATAGGTATTATTTCTTTCTATGAAATTTTTTTAAGTGACTAGAGTATTTGCTAATTCCTTCATTCGCTCATTCTAAAAATACTTACTGTTTATTTTGTACCAGGTGAAAACATGCTAAGTCCTGATTATACGTTATAAGGAATAAAACAATTTTAGTCTCTGTACTCATAAAGCTTACCATCTGGTGGAGGAATACAGGCATTATATCAGAAACCAAGTGTATAATTAAACATTCTACAAAGTAAATGAATAGGGTGCAGTAATAAAGACAACTTACTTAGATGTGTAAAGTAACAGATTTTTTTCAATATCTAATTAATTAAAAAATGGATGCAGTTCTTTCTTACCCTGTTCATTGAACTAAATTCTCTCAAAACCTAAATTTGGGAAGATTTGCTTGAAATTCACGTTAATAGTTTTTAAAGCTCTAATATGTCAGTTTTTATAGCTCTAATATGTTAATAAGTCTAATAAGTTAATAACTGGCTTCCTTTATTTGGAAGCCAGTATATACATGATAAGTGGTAATGCCATCAGTGGCCTCCATTTGCACATCCAAGTGCAGGGTGCTAGATCAATAAATACACAGACCCTTGTCACTGGCTGTCCAAGGAGCCTGTGGCTATGCTGCTGTAATATTAAAATATATAATCAGTTATTGGTGCCTGAATTGGTGACTTCTGAGTGCCCTCAAAGTACAAGTGATTAAAGAAATCTCCCAGCACGCAACTTTGTCAAACCTGTACTTATAGTATCTTAGAAGTGTAAAAAAAGACATATCAGAGTAACTTGTAATGATGCCTGACTTAGCTGACCCTTCCCCTGCCTGTCCTTCCCTATCCATTCTTACATCCTTGCTACAAAAGCCTCACCTCTGCCTGACAAGACGGACACAACCTGTCCCAAGATGGTTCATTCTATTGGAACAACTCTGTTCTCAAGTTATGACTGATATCTGTAGAAAATAATGGGGAATGATGTGGCTTAGTGCAGCATTTCCCAAAGCATGTTCTCTTTTGCTACTTACCCCTAGACAAAAGGATTCCATAAGTTTGAAAAACTATGTTCCATATCCTCCTCTTGGAGTTTCACAATATACAGTAGCTTAGTAAAGGCTTTGTGAAGTCTCAAAATTAGAAAACCTCTTTTATCTGCTGTTTGCCAAACTTATTTGGCAACAGAATCCTTTTGTAACATAAAAAAATTTTTTTAATTATGGTAAAAACAGATATATATAACATAAAATGTGCCATTTTAACCATTTTTAAGTGTATATTCAGTGGCACTAATTACATTTGCAATGTTCAACCGTCACCACTACTGCCAAAACTTTTCTATCACCCCAAGCAGAAACTCTGTACCCATATAAAACAGTAAGTCCCTATTCCTCCCTGCCTCCCAGCCCCTTGTAACCTCTACTCTACTTTCTGACTGTGAATTTGCCTATTTTGTTATTTTTCATATAAGTGGAGTCATACAACATTTGTTCCTTTGTGTCTGGCTTTTTTCGCTTAGCATGTTTTCAAGGTTCATCTGTGTCATAGTATGTATCAGAACTTCATTCCTTTTCATGGCTGGATAATATTCAGTTGAGTATATACGTTTTTATTACTTTTGAGGAGCACACTGTAGAAATGCTGATAATGACATGAGTATGAGCTTTAGTGTCAGTTTGAACCACGGTTCCAGCACATTCTACCTGTGTGACCTTGGACAAGTCATTTCACTCTTCTGAGCCTCACTTACTTTACTTAAAATGAGAATAGTGTTTTCATCAACAGGTTGTTGTAAGGATTAATGAAGATAATTCATATAAATTTCCTATATGCTCTGCTTATTGCCCAATGAATATTCTTATCTCCCTTATATTGGCAGAAAAGGAAGATCATAATAGATTATCAACTGCTGTAACAGTGGTAATCCACAATTGTCTATTAGATTCTGCCTCTGCAAACAGTCTCCAGCGCCGCCCAGTATTGTACCCACTAGCCGCATGTGGCTATTAAGCACTTGAAATGAGGAACTAAGTATTTAATTTTAGTTAATTTAAATCTAAATAACCCCACGCAGCTAGCGGCTGCCAAATTGGCCAGCACAAGTCTAGACTAGAGCAGTGGTTCTCAACTCTGGTTTCATATTGGGATCACCTGGGAAGCTTTAAAATCTACCATTGCTTAGGCCCCTTGCCCGAGCAATGAAATCTTATCTCTACACCCAGACATGGGTGTGTTTAAAGCGCTCCCCACATGATTCTAACGCAGAGACAATGTTGCGAACCACTGCTCTAGTGATCCCTCTACTCTCTGCTCCTCCCCATCAATTAGTACCCTCATTTCAACGTCTACAATGTGAGGGGAAGAACAAGAGCAGTGTTTGGGATACCGTAAATTGATATTCTATGGGTTCTTTCCAATAACTTTTCTTATATTTGTCTATAACTTAAAATATTATCTTGGGGCCGGCCTGGTAGCGTAGCGGTTAAGTTCGCACACTCCGCTGTGGCGGCCCCGGGGGTTCGCAGGTTCGGATCCGGGCGCACCTACGCACTGCTTGTCAAGCCATGCTGTGGCGGCGTCCCATATAAAGTAGAGGAAGATGGGCACGGATGTTAGCCCAGGGCCAATCTTCCTCAGCAAAAAAGAGGAGGATTGGCAACAGATGTTAGCTCAGGGCTAATCTTCCTCACACACACAAAAAATATTGCTTCTCTTGAAATCTTTGTCACTTGTAAAATACATATTGGCTAATACTGTATACAGTATTATTTATAGGATCATAAATATATATTAAAAATATAAAAGGAAGAATACCAACTTCAGGGTAATCAAGAGAGGGAGAAGAGACATAGGTACAGAAAGATCCAACTGTATATAACATTTTATTAATTTAAAACATCTTTTAAATTTTCCTGCTTTTAATTATATAAATACAGAGCTAAACTGTGGCACAAGTTTTTACAAGGGATGATTCTGTTCACATATGGAAGATGTTTCTGCTTTAGCCAAAACCTAAAACTTTAACAAATAAGCAACTGCTCACCTACCCTCAAATATGCATGTAGCTATCCATCTCTCCTATACCATCTATTTCCATCTGTGTCTACAAAAAGAATGGTACTAGATCGAAAGAAGGGAAAATGGATTGGAAAGTCTTTCCTTTTTACCCTAGGAGGTCATTTTTACCCTAGGAATCCTTATCTTAAGGTTTGTTTCTACACATAGTTTCACTTTTAATGGGCAGAAGATAGACTCTTACTACAAATTACCTTTAATTGGATTCCTGCCTCCAAAACACTTTATAATTCAGGTATAACCCCAATGAAGATATTTTGCTGTAATCATTTAAAATGACACATTTCATCATTAAACTTTTGTTTTTTGGATTTCCTTGCCCTATTTAGAATATCCAGATTACCCACTGCATCTGAGATCTGTCAAGGAACAAAGTAGTTACAGGAAATCAACCGATTTCTCAAGAATTACTTGTTTTTAAAAAGCATCTTTAATTTCAAGCAAGTTTTAATTTTAAAACACATCTTTCTTGATAGGCCATTTAAAAGTTCGTCTATAACTCAAGATGAATTATTAAGGAAATAAATGACTAAGTAATTTTGTAGAAAAAGAACTAAGAAATAGAACAACAGAATTTCTACTCCCCCCTCTTCCTATTAACCAAGCATGTAGCCTGTGCTTTAAATTGGAAGGAACTTGTTAAACCCAGGATCATTTTTCAGTGAGTGTCAAAAAGGATCTATACCAGGTTGGCATGAGGTAAGAGGTAGCTGATAAGTGATCTTTCCTCTCTACCATTAAAACAATCCCTTTGTAGGATATTTGAACCCTTGGCAATATCTCACAAGATCTCAGTTTCAGCACAGAAGTGGCTCTTTTCTCTGGGTGTTCAAAAAAGCACTGAATGGAAGATCTATATGTCGGCCCTATCAGTAAAGAATGGGCTGCACAATGGCTAGATTAATGGGGATACCAATATTGACATCACAGAGGTGTAGGGGTTTCAAATGTATCTTAGTAAAGAACTTAGAGCCTCAGGTCATAGAAGCTCTGGAAGTGCCAAGTGTTTTGTGGGAATAACAAACCTGCATAGACCAAAAAGGTGATGAGTGCTGCCAGCAGGTGGATACGAAGCTTGGTTCTGACCTCCTGGAAGTTCAGCAAAGCGCTATGGAAGATAAAGGAGCAGAGGGCCTCTATGATGACCGCTTTGGGCAGGTCGACTTGGATGGGATTCTTGCAGGCGAAGCTCCTCTCGCTGACGTGATACTTGGTCAGCCCCAGGCTCCACACGGCGCCTATGCAGTACCTGCTGCCTAGGGCACCAATCAGCTGAGCCAACAGCCTCACCGCACCCATCTCGGGGGACATTCCCCCCAGCATCATCTGCATCATCACGCCGCAAGGGTTGCTGGAGGTGCCCACCAGAGTCAGGCCATGTACCAACGTGAAGAAGTAGATTAGCGTCAGCGGCCAGGTGGGGTGCGCGGGTTCCTGCTCGCTCAACAGCTGCAGCTCATGGGTGCAACAGCAGAGCTGCAAGGTGGCCAGAAACTCCAAAACGAAGGCGTGGGCCATGGGGCTGTGCAGCTGCTGCTGCCGGGTGACCACCCGGGCCAGCCCTGTGAACAGCACGACCGACAGCATCAGCCCCAGCGAGGTGCAGGTGTCCTGCATCTCGGGCCAGAGCCCCCGCAGCGCTGTCATGGCTAGCTCACCGCCGGGCTAGGCTGCCTGCTCCGGCTCAGCAGGAGGCGGTCTGTGGGCCGGAGGCCGGAGTCCGAAGTCCGCAGCCCCGCCCACTCCTCACGCCCCTCGGGGCGGGCCGACTCTAGACTAGCTGGAGGCCCCGGGGGCGTCACGCTGGAGGACTCCTTCCCCCCCTCTCCGGCTCTGCGCTAGGGTGTTGGGACAGAGCCGGGGAGGAGGGGAGGGGAGGGGCGGCGAGGAAAGCTCTGCTAGGGCACCGGCTGAGGGGCCAACGGTCAGCCGGAACCAGGCACGCACACGCCCTCGCCGCCCCCCTGAGGGACTGGAAGCGGGCGCGGGCGGGGCAGGGAGCGGAGGGACGCCGCGCGCCCGGAGGCCAGTGCGCATGCGCGCGGCGGCCGCGCGCCCCTGGAAGCGCCTAGACCTGGGAGCTTGGGACTCCGGCACGGCTGGTCGTATGTTCGCCCAGCGCGGAGCGGGAAGGGGCGTCCACTGCGGTTCGACAGTTGCTTTGAAGCGAGGCCCTTGAAGGTTTTCCTTCCCTGCTCCTAAAACTGTAAATCCGACAAGCTGGAAAGACCCCTAAGAATCTTCTCGGCCGACCACCTCGTTTTTAGTAATGGGCGGCTGACGAGACAGAGGTGACGGAGGTGCAGCGCAGAGGCCGAGGTTGGTTTAGCGGGAGGAGACTTCGGCGTGGAGCGAACCAGGGTCTGACCTGTGTGAAGGAGGGCATGCAACTGGGTCTTCTTGTCCCCTAGTTTTTTTCACCTACTTCATGAGAGTTGTGGGTCATACGAACCATCTCATTGATTTGTTTTAAAAAGGGTGAAAACCACGTAGCACAGAGCCTAGCGCATAGGGAGTGTTCCATAAGTTGCAGTTTAAAGTTGAAAGAGCAGGTCTGATGATGCCCAGGTCCACGGCGCTTGACGCCACACCCCACTCGCTCACCTGGTGTGGCCCATTGTGGGTGCAGCTGGGAGAGAATGTCTGGGCTTCTTCAGACCTCGCCCCTAGCATGGTTCTGTGCTCATGGAATAAGTGTCATGGTTTGGGGGTGGGGGTCCCAATGCCTCAGCGCTCTGCAGCCTCAGTTCCAACTCCACCAGGCTCTGCTGACCACAAGTCCACATTTCCCAGGGCTGGAGAGGAGGGGGAGAGGAACAAAAATGAGAGGAATAATTAGCCCGACCTTCAAGTGATAGAACTTGGAAGGTGTTCTTTCTTGCTGGTTCTCCTCAGCTTTCCTCCCCAAACTCAACTTGTCCATTTATAACTAATGAAAGTTCTCTTTATAACTCCCAAGTTTGTGGTGCAAGTAGACATTCTCTGAATTAAAAAATAAATAAAATTCTTTCACAAAATACACAAACTAGAGAAATGAAGTCCTTTCCTCTTTCCTGTGTTGGTGCCTGACCAGGAAGAATTTAGAGTAAGTAAGTTAAAACTATTTTTTAGTCACTGCTGTTGAAAGAGGCTGCTTTTAAATCAATCCTGAGAGTGTAACCCTTTCATTGCTCCCCTGTACTAGAAGTCTCTTGAGGATTAGTTATGTGAATTTATTTTGTTTACTGCTCTGCTGATAATTCACTTTTACTAGCAAGAGCCATGTAGAAAACTAGTCTTTTAGACTTTGATTTGAAATTTTTTTTGTGTGTGAGAAAGATCAGCCCTGAGTTAACATCCATGCTAATCCTCCTCTTTTTGCTGAGGAAGACTGGCTCTGAGCTAACATCTATTGCCAATCCTCCTCCTTTTTTTCCCCAAAGCCCCAGTAGATAGTTGTATGTCATAGCTGCACATCCTTCTAGTTGCTGTATGTGGGACGCGGCCTCAGCATGGCTGGAGAAGCGGTGTGTCGGTGGGCGCCTGGGCCCCGGGCAGCCAGTAGCAGAGCTCGAGCACTTAACCACTAAGCCACGGGCCGGCCCTGGTTTGAAATTTTAATATCATTATACATTGTTATTAAAAGGACTTTGGACATTGTTTCAATTAAGGAACAAGTCCAAAATAAACCCAGTTTACTACTTGTGACTATTTCACATCACATAAATCAATCTCTTCCTATTTTCAGAAGCAAGAAGTCACTAATTAAAATCTCTTCAGTGTGACATGGTGGGCTAAGACCTCTGTGGGAAGCAAACCAGGCCAACTCCTTCAGCATAAGTGTTTGTTGATATGAGTGGCAGAGCTGCATCTTGCAAACCCAGATCTCAAAATTCCAATTCCCAGGAAAGTGTCTTCGTGAGGAAGAATGACTCTTTATGTGGGTTGAGAAGATAAGAGTCTGCCTTCCCCTGTAACTTTGGCCCCATTTCAACACTTTGCTTCTAGGCATTACAGAGACATTCTGGCCACGGAAAAGGCAATATGGTTTCTAAGAGGCAGGAGTAGGTTTGGTGAGAACACTGGATTTAGCATTTGAAAATGAGGATTTGACTCTAACTCTGCACCTACTCACTATGAGATCTTGAGGAAATTGTTAAACTTCTCTGAGCTTCAGTTTCCTCGTCATAAAATTATAGTAAACAGCTAACCCAGGGTTTTGTTGTGAAGATTGAATGAGACGATACAGATGAAGTGCTTTGTAAAGAGCTATTACAAGTGAGTTATTTTTTTATTAAGATATAATGCATATACCATAGAATTCACCCCTTTAAAGTGTACAATTTAATGGTTTTCAGTATATTCACAAAGTTGTGCAACCACATTATTTTGAGTGGTGATTCTTAGAAATGAAGTGCTAAATTTATAACGTGACTGTCCTTATAATCTTTGGCATGAATTACTTAAATATGACAATGTAAAACTGTTATGTCTCATTATTATATATACTGCTTCCTGTGTGGAGAAGAAACTCAAAACATAACTCCGGAGAAGTCTTAAGATAGCAATTGATGGATCCTGAAATGGAAGATACTTATCTAGTGCTCTATCACATATAATCAATTAGATTTTTGTGAGGTCTTTTGCTCCTACCTCAGTGCCATGATACACTATCAGAAGTAGTCTATGTTCCTATTAAGTCTGATTTTAGTTGAAAAAATATTTGTTGAGTAGCAGACATTAATGACCCAATCTGCCTCAATAACACAATCTCATACTAATATATGATATTTATTGAGCACTAATTTGTGCCAAACATTGGATATTATTATCTTCACTTCACATAGGCCCAGAGAGGATTAAAAAAAAAAATAGAGACGATACCGTCTAATATGGTGGAAGAAGAAGAGTGCAGGTAGATAAAATTACTGTAAGGCACCACCAATACTTTAAAATTTGGACTAATTGAATCCACGTATAATGGATAAGATCAGATTTTTACAGAAATTGGCCTTTTTGAAAAAGCTGTCTAGAATATCCTTCTCCGTTTGCTCTTTCATGCTATTACTAATTTCACTTCCCATGTTCCTTTTTTTTTTTGAAGGTGCACTTAGTTTAATTAATAGAAAGTCATTTGTTTCTGAAACAGTCGAAATCAAAATAGCAACAGAGGTCAAGAGTTATGACAAGATTTCTTCTATAGTCATTCTTTTTTTTTTTCTTTTATTGTGGTAACATTGGTTTATAACATAAATTTCAGGTGTACATCATTATATTTCAATTTCTGTATAGATTACATCATGTTCACCACCAAACCCATGTTGCCTAATACCAGGAAAAAGAGGCCTTGGGTAGAAGATACAAGAATTTCTACTACCAGGAAGGAATATAATTTACTTTAAATGATTGAATGATATTCTAGTTCATGCTTAAGGGACTAATTCATTTTTTAAACTTGCAATTATTAAAATTTCCTAACATATACAAAGGTAGAATAGTATAGTGAATTCCTATATAGTTTTTACTCAGCTCTTCAATGACTATGAATACTTTGCCAATTTTATTTCATTTATTCTCCAAAGTTTTGGTGGGGAGGAGGCCAGAGTACTTTAAAGCAAATTCTACATATCTTGCCATTTTTGTTGGATATCTTCTGTTTCCCCCTCCCAGTCCACTCTTTCTCTACCTCTCATCCTTGCTCTGATTCCCTCAAGGCTAACCTGTATAGAATGCAGGTAAAGGACTCTCTTACCATCTAGGTGGGTTCTGCCAATGGAGAGCACCACCAGGAGACTGGAGGAATGGAGGAGCTTAATACCTTAAGGTACTATTCCTCTGGCTCCCTTTCTGAGGGTTCATTGCAGCCAGGTGTATCCATCAACGAAAGGTCACAACTTCCCTCCACAGGGTTCTTTGTCTCTGGGTTCTGATAACTCCCTCCCCTCACCCCTAGGCCTGGGGGTGGTAACGGTTGTTGTTACTAGGCCAGGAATACTGCATTATACCTTGTAGTTTCCCTATAGCCTTCCTACATCTTTGGAAAGGGTCCTTTTATTAAATTCTCTTTAAATTACCTAACTTGATTGTGCTACTTGTTTTCTGCTAGAAACCTGATTCGTTTCACCCATAAATACTTCATTATGTACTGCTAATTGATAAAGACATTTAGAAAAACTTAATCACTATGTCATTATCACATATAACAAGTTAACAATAATTCCTAAATATCATGTGATACCCAGTCCATATTCAAATTTCTCCAATTGACTAAAAAAAAAATGTCCTTTTGTACTTGGTTTAAGATCCAAACAAAATCTGTACTTTTATAATTATTTTTTTTTCCCCAAAGCCCCAGTACATAGTTGTACATCATAGTTGCACGTCCTTCTAGTTGCTCTATGTGGGATGCGGCCTCAGTATGGCTGGAGAAGCAGTGTGTCAGTGCGCGCCTGGGATCTGAACTCGGGCTGCCAGTAGCGGAGCATGCACATTTAACCGCTAAGCCATGGGGCCGGCCCCACTTTTATAATTATTATGCTTCTTATTTTTATTTAGTTTATAAGATCTGCCCCCCCTCCTTTTTTAAGTGTATGTTATAGATTTGTTGGAGAAACAAAGTCATTTGTTCTGTAGAATGTTCCACATTCTGGATTTGGCTGATTGCTTCTATATGGTGTCATTTAACTTGTTCCTCTATCCCCTGCATTTCTTGTAAACTGGTAGTTACATTTAGATGATTGATTAGATTTAGTTTCTGTTTCCTTTTTTTTTTTTTTTTTTGTGAGGAATATCAGCTCTGAGCTAACATCCGTGCTAATCCTCCTCTTTTTGCTAAGGAAGACCAGCTCTGAGCTACCATCTATTGCCAATCCTCCTCCTTTTTCTTCCCCAAAGCCCCAGTAGATAGTGGTATGTCATAGTTGCACATCCTTCTAGTTGCTGTATGTGGGACGTGGCCTCAGCATGGCCGGAGAAGCGATGTGTCGGTGCGTGCCCGGGATCCGAACCCAGGC